GGAATCGGATTCACCTTATAAGTTGCAGAAAAATTCCACTGATTTTTGTCAAATACATGTAGAATGAATTTTTGAATCATACATTTCACTTGAAAAAAAATTATGGGAATACATGGAAACTACAAGTGAAAAACCATAAAACCAATACACAATCATATATATGTATACACTTTCTTCCCAGTTCCGAATTATAATTTCTAAAATTAATTAGTTTTGAAAGATAAACCTAATTAATTTACTAGGTGATTAGCCTAATTGATATAATTAACCTCTCCTCCCTCAAATGAGAGTTGAGGAGTTCGAGCCTTAGGTATTTGTGCGTGTGGGAGTGCTTTTATCTCACATAAAAAATAAATAAGATAAGACTTTTCTACTCAGAGGTGAGTATGTCATCTCTACTGTGCACACATATTATGCAATTACAAATATGTAAATAGTCTGCAATTATAAAATAAGAAAAATGATAAATAAGAAAATCAGAGAGAAGGTAACCGAATATATTCCAAAAATTCTTATTTATCACCTTCCTGATTTTGTAATTACAGACTATTTGTTTATCTGTGAGTAAGTCATGCTTACTCACTGGTGACTAGGCAAGTCTTGTTATTTTACTAATCATCGTAATAAAATGAGAGAGATACCATTGAATTCCAATATGGAAAAAAAAAGCTCTGCAAAATTAGTAGAAAGAGGAGCACAGAGATTGAACCATAAGGAGAAGATATCCCTTAAATTGGGAAGACGTGAGAAGGATTTTTTATTTTTATTTTTCCTTTTAAAACAAGACTAAAACACGGAGAAGAAGAGAATTTGACGGATAATTAATGGTTGAGAATTTTCTTAGCGTTAAAGTTCGATTATATCTAGGATCTTCAATTTCCTTTTCTGCATCATACATAATTGCGTGCCTTCGAATCAGCAATCTTTGTTACCAAGAGTTATAGTCCTTTATGTTGAATCTCAGATCCTTTAGTTGTTGAGTTTTCTGCCCCATGAAGAAGACCTTGCAATTCTTTTTTGGAGCAAGCGCTGTGATATCCACCACTCTTGAGTGGTCTCTCTAGTTTGGAAAAATGAATATATCAATAGCTTAATATATCTTTGTATAAACTTCAGTCATAAGTTCAAAATGGCATTTGTGAAATATGAGAAGATCAATTCTAATAAATTGTGTATTACACAACTCATCATAAGATCAAATCTAATAAATTGTGTATTACACAACTCATCAGAAATTCCAAACAATTATTTGTTATTGTTGGGGACCGCATAGCTAAAGAAGCATGAATAATGCGAACCAACCTGTGAAAGTTTTAACGCTCAGAAATAATTGGACCAGTTAGACTCTTCTGAATTTCAACACACAGCAACAACAACATATGCAATCATATTGAAGGTCTAACCACAAAGCATTGCACAACACAAGACGTCACTGTAAGAAAAACAGTTTTTTATCGCGCACTTTTTTACCACGGTTTTAAAATAAAATAATCGTGATAAAAAATATATTTTTTATCATGATTATTTTAAAACCGTGGTAGAAATTCTACCATGGTTAATGAAAAACCGTGATTATAACCATGCACTTTTTATCACGGTTACTTTTATAACCGTGACAATAAACATGTATTTTCTATCACGGTTTTAAATAACTGTGGTAGAAAGTGAATTATTTTCAATTCTGCTTACGCGCGTTTTATTCCCTCTAGTTTCATTTAAAAGAAAAAATTATAAACAAAAATATAACTCATACAGAAACCACACATAACATATATACTCAAAAAAATATATATATCTGCATATATCTCCAAAGCGGGCGCCTTTCTCTCGCGATCTATACCATCTATACTCGATTTGCAAATCCCCTTTCTCTCAAATTTCCAAGCCTGACCCCTGCCTTTTTCTCTCCAAACCCAACCCTTCTATCGAAGCCACTGATTTCTGAAATCTCCACCATTGAGGAGCAGCGGAGGGTTGAATCGATGGTCAGCGCAACGTTAGAAAGGAGATAGCGGCACAGCTAATTGAAAAGTTCCCTGAGTTTTAAGGTGCGTAGTGCCCCTGTAAAGTCCACCACAGATGGGCGTGGAGACTCAACAAGGATTCGCTCCTTTCTCCAAGCCCTAACCATAGCTCCCTCTCTCATTCGAAGTCCTAACCCCTCCCTCCTATTCGAAGGACACGTCAAACCGAAGACCTAATTTATCGTGTGTGCATCGATAAATTTTGAGGTTTGTATTTTCATCCCCTGTAAATTGTTATCTTCATCAAATTGATACTCAAATAGGTATGACATGACTTTAGTTTAATTCAATTAGGGTTTCTTATAAATTCCATTTCTTAATGTGTACTGAGTAAACCTTTTTTTTTTTTGCAATGCCTATATTGATTCTTTCTATAGGATGTTCATGATTTTTTTGTTTTCTCTATTTCTTTATCATTTGCTTGCGTCACATGAGGAAATTATACTTTCTATTTTTATTTTTTTTTGTTTCAATTTCGGAATAAAATCCAGCAGCATTTCAGTAAATCTAGACTGTGTATAGTTATTATATAGTCATTGTCTTAGAACAATCAAGTGAATCGTCAAATTTCTGGTTAAGAAATAAATGTGCCTAAGCAGTGGAACTGTTAACTTTTATCGTCTGCCAGAAGTGTAATTTATTTCTGATGTGGGTGCACTAGACTTTTTAGTTGTCACCTTATTGATGTCTGCTCATCCATTTTCAGTCGGCTTTTTTTCTTTGTTAATCGTCATCATCATACACTCTTAGCCCTTTTGCTTTTATTTTTTTTTATATGATTATTTGTAAGCTAAAAATACTTGTATCAGAAACTAGGATGTGGATTTTGGTTAATTCTCATCTAAAATAATGTTATGACCCTGTTTTTCTCATTGCGAGATGAAATTTGGGAGCTACTGCTTATGGCGTCGTGAACATAGGGAAAAAATGAAAGACTTTAGTAAAGAAGATGAAGGACCTACTATATGTGGCTCGGGCTTACTTTCCTAGTATTGCAAAGCTTGCAGCACATGACAAGCTATCACATGAAATGAAGCAAAATATTCAGGAGTTTGAACGTATTCTCGGTGAAGCTACAATAGATAAAGATTTCCCACCACAGTAAGTGATGATGACTTTATGATTTTCTAATATCCATCCATATAGTCCTGAGCAATAAGAATTTTAAATGCTTCCTCTAGTGCAGCAAAGTGTTTGCTAATTGCCTGTGGATCTGTTTGCTAAGTTCAAATATCACATTTCTTTATGCATATGTTTGTTTAGTTGAATGTAATTTCTGTACTTTAATCCAATACAAATGTTTTTATTATAGCCTTTTCATAATGGGGACCATCAATAACTTCTTTCACTACATAAGTCATGTTGTATTGTATATTTAGTTGTACTGCCTATGCATGTTTCTTTTATGTGGCCTAGGTTTTCCTGGTGCATTCATAACATGGTCCATTGGCAAGTTTTTTGACTCGCAATTCTTTCCTTCATTCATTTTATATATTGTAACATATGTAGTCTTACTGCTTGAGGCCTGCCTTTGTCTGAATTTATGATTCTGGTACATAAATGTATAGTATATTCCATGTGCTTGCCAAACATGACTTTACTAAAGAAAATAATAGTGAAAAACACAAGAAGAAAAAAAATGAAGTTAAATGTCAACAAGAACATTAAATTTTATTTTATTTTTCTAAATCAATTAATATAGGGCTGTAATTCTTGTTTTGCAAACTAAATCCTATTTGGGGAATTTTTTTGCTTGAAGAATCTTGTATCTGTTGAACTGGTGTGAAAAAAATATATATATATATATAGAGAGAGGAAATTTGATTGACATTGCTGATGTTCTACAGCTAAATGGTGGATGGCTGTATCAGTTCATAGACTCCTTTATTGGTTTTGATCTTATCATTGGTTGGAGCCCATGCAATAACCTTATAGGCAGAAATAGGGTTAGTGTGGATGGACCTGAGGGTAAATTTTTATTTCACTTTTTATGATTATTTCCATATTCTAGACTTGGTCAAAGAGATAATTGGGAAGTAACAATAAATTCATAAGAAAGGACCTACATTTTGGAGGTCACCCCCCCTCCCCCCCCCCCCCAAAAAAAAAAGAACGGTTGTAGTCTATCCAAGTGTCGGACATATTTTAGTTGGAATTGGAGGAAATTTACAATTCTATTTTCGATGTGCCGATCTGGTGCTTCCAAAATGAATTCTTAGACATTAAAGGCATTTCTGATGTTGGATGAGACTTGCTAATGTATTGTTTTATTATGATATGATGTTTTTACGCTATCTGGTAAACAAATTGATCATCTTCATGATATGCAAGAGCATTCCAATTTTATTATTGTGAAAATGATTTTTAGGTACCTCCAACCTGTAAATTAAGCACTATCCTACGTTTTAAAGGCTAATTATTAAAATGTTATCTCTCTTCTAAGCTAACTTTATTATATGGAGGAAAAAGAAAATCATCCAATCAGGTAAGTATAGCTACATATTGGAGTTTTGCTAGATGGATGTCTAGCCGAGGGTTAATATATAAGGTGCTTATGTTATGTAAGAGTTCTCCTTATATAATTTATTTTTTGGTTCATTAAATTTCACAATACCTACCTAAAAAATGGGAAAAAGAAAACAAGACTCTTACCACTTGTTTATTTATTTTCTATTGAAAATAAAAAGAGGAAAAAAAATAGAAATATGAGACCGTATCACATGATATTGTTCTACTATCATTCTTCAGCGTTTTTCCTTTTTCTTTTCTTCATTTCTAAGAACCAGAAGTAAAATAAAATGGATAAATCTGAATTATAATAAGAATGTGCTATGTAGCTAAATTACAATTCCTCTCCTTCCAAATACTCCAAAAGGCAGCTACAAGTATGGAATGAATCAGTTTGTTGGTTTGTTGTGAAAACCAAAGTAGCATATCTTCAATTGTTTGTGCTTGGGAGTGGTTCTTGTATTAACTACAATTTGTATGAATACATGAAAGGGAACATAGTTGTGTGAGATTTAATTAATTATTTTGCTTGATGTTTAGTTGATGGTTCATTCATTAGCAACTAGTCATGAACCATTTCTCTACTTCTTCTTCTAGTATCCTTATAAATGTTTTAATACATGAAAGGGAACAATTACATCTAATATGATATTCATTTTTCATTATTTTTAGATGATTGTAGTGTAATTGTTTGATGGCTTTGTAGTGAAAATGCAATCTAATTGTATATTTGTATTGCATAGTTGGTATTCCTGTTAAAATTATATATATTTTTAGGGCAGTTTATAGGACTAGTTCTGAAAACTAGAGTAAATGGGGGTACCAACTAGAAGGTGTTTCTGTGGTTCTGTTTTTGGTGGTGTGCAGTGTAATGGAGGAAGTGTTTGTTTTTGGGAAATGAAATACTACCTGGATTTATTACTAATTTTCTTTTTCTGAAGCTATGTTTCCTTTGTCACACCACACCAGTGGTGTTGAACAATTTATATTTGAATTTAAGTTCTTTTGCATTATAGTCCATTCTTTTGAGCAATTGATTCCCTTCAACTCTACTGAGAGTTTAATCTTTCCCTTCTTGTCCTCAATTGGTGCTGGTTTCTCATAACTGTATTCCTCCATATGATTCCTATAGGAATTATTCAATATTCACATCTTTTGCTTTTCCCTTCATTTTGTAAATTTTCACCATGATTTGGTGTTCAAACTTTCAATCAAATTCTCATGGGCTGTTATTGAAATTGTAGTTCTGAATACTGTCTTAGCTCATAAAGAGGAATGTATGTTGTAGCTTTTAGAATTATTTATGTTCACGACTTTTTGACTATTTCAAGTCTATTTTTTGATAATTTGATTGTAAAAAATACTTAACTATTGATTTATATCTGGCTTTTGTAGATCATAGGAAAAGCAAATAAAATTGGGGTGGGACCAAAAGAAGTAAGTGACAGGTACATCAATGAGTATCGTGGTAACATGAAACAAATTCAGTGCCTTCCTCCTACAGAAGAGCCAGGGGTAACTGATCATATAGAGCAGATAAAAAACATGATCCATCAGGTGATTCTCTTCCTATCATCATTCTTTGTCTTTCTGAAATACCTGGAAATCAGGAGTTTCTAAAAATAAAATCGGATGAATAGGGTATTTCAAAATGGAAAAATGATAAATTTCTATGTCAAATAGAGCAAGTAATTGTTCACCTCTTAGGAGGATTATCTATTTCTTATTTTGTGGAAATAAACCAAGGTAGGCTACTATATCTCATTGCTTAAACCACCTTTGTGACTGTAACTGTGGAAGAGAGCTAAGGTAGACAAACTTCTACATATAGTTTCTTATCTTGAGGTTATGGTGGTATATTTTTCTTATTGAAGTTGTTTATGCAGGTTTGTCTTCACATTTGCCCTAGGTGCTGGACCAGTCCCTAGTCTCCTCCTATCAGAAATATTCCCTAACCGAATTAGTGCAAAGGTAATGGCAATCTACATGGCAGTGCACTGGGTAAGTGGATAATTGTGTTATGCAGTTTATTCTGTCACTGGTATTGGTATATCATTTTTTTCCTTCTTTCATTGTGTGAACGGCAATTTAATTCCAACTTTTTGAAGGTTTCTTGAAAATAAGGTCTTCTACCTTTGAATTTCTATTCAATGTTGAATCCCGATGATCACTTCTCAAACTGTGAACCACAACTTTGAACTTAGTAGTTGAATTCATTCATGCTTATAAACTATGAACCAAAGATATCCAAAACTATGTCCACGAATCAATTTTATTTACTGGATAGTTGCAACCAAATATAAAATTATATATGTTGTGGCCATTGCTTGGTGCTGGTAAAAACTCAGGCTAACAAGTGTAGACATGGATTCAAGTTTGATAGCAGCAGCTTTAAGAAAAATAATGTCAAAGGTTAAATCTGTCTCCATTCTTCAACCCCAGATTTCCAAGTAACTGGACCACCACTACATAATGGCCTTTTTGCATTGGGCATATCAAGACCTAGAGCAAGAAAGGCATTCCTACATATTTAATATTTTTAAGCTACTAAGTTGATTGTAAATTAGTAGAACTCCCTACTTCACTTAAACTAAATAAACGTAAGGAAAACAGAAAAGTGATGCATAAAAATCCAAGAAGTCTCAAGAGTGGGCATTTGTCTAACTCCAATTTCAACCGTAAACTTATACAAATCTGATTTTTATATCCATAGCATAACTAAAATTTCTCAAAACTCCCAAAAAATAATTTACATTGTTGTTTATTAAAGGGGCAAAAAATGAAAATGATAAGACAGCATTACTTGTTCTTCTAATTCTTTCAAATAAGCTGATTTATTTCCAATCCCATTAATCAGCTTAACATGCAACGCCTGCAAGGATAAACAAAGAAAACTAGTCATTCTCTATAGAGTGACACTTAAAAATCATGCCAAATCAGTCAAGGTATGAATGGGTGATGAAAAGGATTGAGTAGGATGGAGACAAGAAAAATGAGATAAGAACAGGTCCCATCCTCTATGGAAGTTGGGAAAACCCAGCTTACAAATGTAAAGGATAGACTAATAAAATTGTCAATCAATTGATAAGAACTTGTGATATAACAAATACTGAACTCTTATCCCAACCTTAAGCTGTTCCAAATCCTTCACATCTGTATTCTGAAGTCCCTTCCACCAAATTACCTTTTTATCTTTCGCAATAATATCCAGTGCCATAAGGACATTCAATGCATCATATACTCGTCGTCTTATATTCTTCTCATCAGACTAAAACATTCAGAGGTTCACTTCTTAGCATACACAAGTTAACATAATAATAGCAGTGTAAAAAGGTTAAACTCTAGGGTTAATCAAACCTCATTGAAGGAAACTGCTGAACTATTGTTAATTCTGGTAAATCTGCTACAATTTCATCTGTAACCTGGACATCATGAACCAAGCAACCCAATAATTATAAGATAGAACATAATCATACACAGAGGCAATAACAGTAATCTAAATGAACTGGAAGAGAAGGCCGATTAGAATAACAGGAGAAGTGAGAAGAAGAATAACAAATAGAGATTTTTAGGGAGAAACCTTAATACTAGTGTGATAAATCCTAAAGACATTGAAGCACATATAAGGGCAAACCCTAGACAAACCTAATAAAAAATTTAGCAACCTCAAGGGGGTCACGTGCCTTTAAGTGACCAATTTTGCAGTGTATAGGGGGTCACGTGCCTTAAGTGACCATTTTTTTTTAATTTGAACATATCATATGATGGTAATTCACTCTGTCTTCGAGTACTTTCAATCACCTATTAAATAAGCCATGCTTAAGCTTTAATCCTGGGACTATTTCCTTGACACACTGAACTTGCTTTGCTTGAGTTAATAGGAAGAGTAGATCATTCAAAGTACCTTTATTATAATACTTGTTTTGCTTGGTTTAATTTTGGCAATTTTACAACTTGCTTTATAATTTTTTTTTTTCTAAATAACTTGCTTTATATTAATTCTTTTACTTCAACTATTACATCTTTGTAGGTCAAAGCTAGGATTGCGGGTTGCGGTTGACGTTACTTTCTTTTGTTGCCACTATATTTTTTGTATGGCTCATGAAGAAGTTGCAAGATATGAAGAATTTTTGTTTTATTTTGGTTAAGTAAATATATAAGGTGTGGATCATGTACTTTTTTGAAATTTGTATATGGTTAATTTTTGTATAAAACAATGACTTGAATTTGGTTATATATATATATATGATGTTATTTGTCAGTTTTAAATTATTTTGGTTTTGATTTATTTTGGGTTTGCTTCCAGGGTTCTTCTTGTAAGGCTAGTAGCGGGTGTAAAAAAATAAAAAAAAATAGGCTTCATAAGGGCTAAACTATTATTTTTTTAAAAAAATTATATAACACTTTCTACTATGGTTTTGCACCCTAGTAGAAAGTCCTTCTTTCTACCACGGTTCCCCGCCGTGGTAGAAAATAAACTTTCTACCACGGTGCAAAACCATGGTAAAAAAGAAAGACTTTCTATCACAGTGCAAAACCGTGGTAGAAAATATACTTTCTACCACGGTGCGTAACCGTGGTAGAAAGAAAGACTTTTTACCACGGTTTTGCACCGTGGTAGAAAACTTATTTTCTATCACGGTGGGGAACCGACTTTCTACCACAGTTATTTCTACCACGGTTCAAAACTGTGGTAGAAAGCCTTCTCCACCGTGGTAAAAAGTCATTTTTCTTATAGTGTGTACGTGATTCACTCTAAATCAGTGTTATGTCCATCGATGAGGAAATTTCACTATAAAACAATATATTAGGAGATTTTACAATTTGTAGAGAATTACCAACACCAAAATAACTTCTACACTCATTCTCACCTTGATCGAGGAGATTTTACAATTTGTAAATAATTACCAACACCAAAATAACTTCTACACTCATTCTCACCTTGTCCATGGTTGCCAGGGCAAAAGTTGAGATAACCAAGACTTACATCGTGTACTGCAAGACACTCTCTCATTTTTAGTATCCACCAAACCTAACGTAAGTCTCTTCACCCATCAACTTACAACCAGACACCCTCGCGTCTTCAGTTTCCACTCCACCAAACCTAACATAAGTTTCTCTACCCATCAACTTACAACGAGCCACCCTCGCATCTTTAGTGTCCAACTATCTCAACCCATCAACTCAAAACTCACTCTTTTGCGAGGCTATCCTTACAGGCCAATCATACCTCTCAATAATATCCTAGATATCTATTTACTTTCACTTTAATATAAGGTAAGATGCCACTAATCGAATAAAGATAAAAGTGTTACTATTCTTTTTTTTTTTCTTTTTTTTTTTTTTTTTTGGGAAATTTTCATCAAGTTTTGTCTAATCATTACTAAAAATAAATTGTTAGAATAATGATGTCTCAAATTGTATTATCATTATGTGTCTATTTTTAGAGTCGTATTGTATCGTGTAATGTTTAGATAACTCTGTCAGTGAGTTAGGTTTGGGGTCTACAAAATAGATACGTGGTTTATTGTTGAGAGTATGAGTGGAGAAAAAAGTGTAGCTCGTAAGGGCAATCTCGCGAGCGTACAATTGGTAGAGAGAGTTTACGTTTTTGTAAGATCTCTACAGATTATAATTAAATCTCCTCATCCATGGGCCCTGAATTTGGGTGAACCATGTAAAATCTTGTGTTATGATTTGGAATCACTTTTCTTCTTTTGATTTAATTTATTGCTTGCACTGTGCCCAACACAAATTACATATATAGTTTATATCAATTATAATTATAAATGGAATTACTTCAAAATATTGTGGCTAGCTTCATGATAAAAAAAAAGGCTATGTGTATCTATATTTCTGTGAATTGTCCTAGGAACTCATTTCTTCCCTTCACCAAAACTTGGTTCTACTTGCATATAAAGTTAAGGGTAAATTACACTGATACCTCATGAGGCTTGCCATATGGGCAACCATATATAAGTTGGGATATTTTTGAACAATCTCAAGTTTGATAAAGTTAAAAAGACACTCCAATGGTCACGCACAAAATAAATTGACATTGTTGCCCTTTGACTTATAAATTGAACAATTGAATAATGAAATTAATTTTCTTTTAACACAAAATCACTCTCACCCTATTTTTAGTTTCTATATTTAATTTTACCATTACCTCCTACTGTAGCAATAAAACTTAATTACCAAAATAAAAATAGAAACCTTACCAGTATATATAACTAAAATTTTATTTTTCTTTAGATGTTTCTTTGAAAGAAATATAAAAATCTTTTAAATAAAAAAAATACCAGTGTATATTACTAAATTTTTTTTTTAGATGTTTCATTGAAAGAAATTTCTTTGCGGTTCACTTCACCTCTATTTTTCACGTTTCTATCAAGTAAAGAAGAATTACACCAGGTTTTAGATGGTTCACTTCGGGAAGGATAAAGGGAGATCATTTGTTTTATATCTTTGAACATAAGTGTCGGAAACAAGAGAATTTATGCCAAACTCCACTCCTCAAAATCTAGTTGAGCCAGTTTGAGAACATCGAGACGTCTTAAAATTGAAATATAATTTTTTTTTTTGTTTAATCTTTAAATGAAATTTTCTCCAATTTCAATTCCAATGTATCAATTTGATATTCCAAAATGCAACATTACAGTATATTTGTTGGTAAATTTACTTATGCTAGAGAAATATATTTATTTGAATTTTAGTATGTGCACATGCAAAAAAGACCATATACTATTATACTAGAGAAGACAACATTACAGTATATTTGTTGGTAAATGCTATTGTTTTTTTAGAAAATGCACTAATATCATAATGTTGTTGCAAAATTGAAAGATACAGAAAATTTTAGTAATATATACGGGTATTATTTTTCTTTCAAAGGTTTCTATTTTTATTTTGGTAATTATATATTATTGCTATAGTACGTGGTATTGGTAAAATTAAATATAGAAACTAAAAACAGGAAGAGAGTAGTTTTGTGTTAAAAGGAAATGATATAGATGGGTTTGAAAAATGACAGTTAGATCTAACGGTCCATATAGAAAATGTAGATTAATTTTCTTACTCTATGGGAAGCAAGAGTTCAAGACTCTCTCTCTCTCTCTCTCTCTCTCTCTCTCTCTCTCTATATATATATATATATATATATATATCAAATATCAAAACCCTAAATATATGTTTGTAGAAGTCATCATGCTTGTAAACTATGATATCAAGAATAATTAAAGAAGCGAAAATCAATAATATTGAGAAAAATGAAGGGCCTTTGAGGAAGGATGTGGAATCCATTTATGTGGAGGAGCTTGGAGTCACTTTGTCAAGGCAGGATAGGATATGTTTAAGGTTTTAGTAATTTACCCAATGGAGGTTGTTATTGACGTGAACTATAGAGATTTTTTTCCCTTTTAAGGCAGGATAAGCCTTAATGAACGAGCAGAGACAACTTCTGGAGAGCGTATACACCCTAAATCCAAACAACAATCCGATCAACATGTGCATCCTACTCCAATCGAATATCTTTAATTCTCTCTTTACGAATGTGTATGTGTGTATATATATATACCACTCATATATGTATGTGAAACATTTTTCTTTCAAAAATTCAGATATGAAAATTGTTTAGTGACATATATATATATACACACACATACACACACACACACACATAAAATGAATTGAAGGTTTTTGGGCAGAGGAGGAGGAAATGGTTGTTTGAGATTCAGGTTTTGATTGTGGCAGAGAAAGAGACTTAGAGTGCGTTTGGATGGGATGATTTGGAGGGATGGGGAAAGAAAAGATGGGGCTTAAGTGTGTTTGAGTAGTTTAAAATGAGAAAAAAGAAATGATAGGGAGTGATAGTTATCCCTCATTTCCTATCTAAAGGATAGTGTTTTAAGTAGTATTTACATAATCCCGAAAATGACCTCAACAATTACAAAGATAAAATTATTATTTCATTCATATCCCATCTATTTAAAAGGATATGATAGTAATTTGGTTATTATCATTTCTCTTCTTTTTTCCCCTCTATCATATCCAAGCAAAAATATTATTTCTTCTCTTCTCTTCTATCTATCAAATCATAAATAGAGATTATTGATATATTTTTTTTTCTTTTATCTCATAAAGAAAAGAAATGATAGTATTAGTTATGCAAGAAAAGAAAAGAAAAGAAAGGATAGCAATAATCTCTATTTATGTTTGAATAAATAGAAGAGAAAATTAAGAAAACAAATGATAGTATTCTTTTTTGGATATGATAGAGAGGAGAAAAGAAGAGAAATGATAACCACTAAATTACTATTATGTCTTTTTAAATAGATATGATATGAGTAGAATAATAATTTCATCTTTTTAATTGTTGAGTGTAGTTTTGGAATTATGAAAATACTATTTAAACACTATCCTTTTTCTCCGAGATAGAAAATGAGTAGCTATCATTCCTATCTCTCCCTCTCATTTATTTTCTCATTTTTAATCAACCAATCACACTCTCATTATCCAATTTTTTTTTTTTTTTTCCTCTCCAAATCTACCCTATCCAAATGTACAATCCAAACATACAAAGTAGGAAGATGACACACAAGCGTTATCATCATTGCTCAGCGGTTGTTGTGGTGTGGGGTTTGGGTTTAGAATGGGTTCAGAATATACATATATATATGTATGTATATATATATATATACATGTGTAATATATTTATATATATTTTAGATTTTAGATTTTTTTTTTCCTAAATATTAAATTTTAGTTGAATAATTGAAAAAGGAAAAATAATTTACATAAATTAGTCTAACAAAAGTCATTTTATTAACTTTTTTTATTTGTTTCAGTATTTACTATATCTTAAATACAATTGAGAAGAAAAAAAAAAAAATAAAATAAAATAAAATTTGCCACCACCCAAGATGCGTAAATATTGCCAGCAGCAAAAAAAAGAATTGAGCGGTTGCCACTAAAATTTACTGATAAAAAGGATTTTATTGTGAAATTAAATTGAATAGTTATATAAATCTCAATTGAGAGAGAAGCTTACTATTAGAGAGAGAAAATAAAGGGAAATAGTGGGGTTTGGTTTCTGATGGAGAAGGCGAAAGGTTAGAAAGAGAGAGTGGTGAGGTGTAATGATGGAGAAAAACTTAATTGCGCCAGTTGTATCAGTGACGTGGTATCATCAACTGATTAGATACTGACATGTAAGAATATGACAACTAAAATAAAGTAATTTTACTTGTGCGATATGATACAATTGGTTGATAACACAGATAACGAAGTATTAAAAGTGTCTTTCTCGTAATGATGAGTATACCAAGGGCAAATGTGTCATTTAAGAGTTATGATATTTTGCAATTTAAATTAAAAAAATATTAAAGGGGCAATCTTGACTTTTCACATTTTTAAAGGGGATTTTTGAATTTAATTTCTGACATGACGTGCCATTGTTAAAAAAAGAATGAATGTTATAATAACAAATCTCAGGGATGTCATTATAATTTATCCCAAAATTAATGAGCAATTGTCCTTTACGAGATTGAATGTTGTTCATTGTTGTAATTTTTTATTTTTATTTTTATTTTTTGGTACTGAAAAATTAATCCACCGATTGGCCACTTTGTACTCTTGAGTTATTTGTAAATCTCGAATATATGCAATCACAAACCATAGTCCTCATATTTTTGCGCTTTATCATTGTTGTAACTTGTTGCAATGTAAGAAGATATAATTTTCTTTTTTCCGTAAATGTATAAGAAGATGTAATTGCTTAATTAAAGAATCCGATGCGTATAACTTATGCCCTCTCTAAGAAGCACGACCTAGAACTAAAATAATGACAAACAAAACATTAAAAAAAATTAAAAAAAATACCGGTTCAGTATTTCCAAACAAAACATTAGATTAAACAAAACTGAGCAGCCAAAACAGCTTTGGGATTAATATGACAATATAAATACAATTTATTTATAGAATACATAAAGGAAAAAGAAAAAAGAGAATGATGCATTAGCATTCCTTGTTTTCCCTCTTACTCATTAATGCTTTGGAAAATACTTATTAAAAGGATACAATATGTAATAAGAACTAATTACCGAAGAAAAAAAAAAAAAAATTGTTTTAAGAACTACAAATACAAAAATTTTGTTCAAGCAGTTTAATATTTAACACCTTATGACAGGCAGATGGAGTCTGTATATGCCTTGAAATCGGACCAAACATCTTCTTCCCAACATTCATTTTCTCCTTTTATTGAAACTAGACTCTCCTTGTAGACCCAAACATGAACGGAACGGTACTTTTCAGAAGGTCCAACATACTTGATTTCTTGATTATTAGGATAGTAAAAAACCAACTGCTTGGCTTCTGTTTCTAATAAAACATCTCCATTTGCCCATAATCCTAAAGGTGATTCTACATCTGGAAAGGGTCCAATTGTAAATTGTCTTATCCAACACCCCTCCGTCTTCATCAACCATATATCAAAATCTTTCTCCACTTCACATGGATTGTAAAAGAAAATGGCAATATAATCATTACACATGGAAAGAACTCCATATTGTGATGTAGGAATATCTGGCGGTATCTGCGTTTCATGAAAAAGTTCACTGTTCATGCCAAATGAAAAGAGAACATAGTAGTTGTGATTGTCACTGGTCGACCAGTAATGAACTCCATCCATGTATGTGTTACACAAAGACTCGTGTATGTAACCTTTTCCAAACACATCAACTTCGAATAGGTTCCAAGAATGAGTATTCAAGGTGTACACTGCAATAACTGTTGGAATGTATGGATCATCATTTATCTCATCCCAGAATAATCGAATCCAAACCAACTTATAATGGTTGGTCACTAGATCTAACCCCATTCCAGAATGAAAACAGTAGGCTGTGTAAGTGGATGGAATTTTGGGCTGAGGTACAAGGAGAGACCTGAATTCTTTCAAAGATGGGTTCCAAAGAGCTAAATGGTGATGATCCCAAACACAAAATATTCCATGAAACGGACCGTTAATGCATAGCATTCTTGGTATTCCAAGTTCAACAAGATCATCAAATAGAAATGTTGTGTTGGAAATCTTTTCATAAGGAAATGAGGCCAAAGCATAGTTTTCGATTTTGTACGCATAATGGTGCATAAGCAGACGAGTGTTGCTGTGGTTATGGAGGTGTTTGCTAACGAAATTAGAATTATTGATGATAGTGTGCCAACATTTGCCAACAATTCTGAACCGCAACAATGATTTCACAGGCAGTCTCGAGAGAATCTCTACTATCACTGTTTCTTTGATGTAATTTTTAGCACTATTGATTGCCATTGCTTCCGTCCTCTAATTTAGTTGTTGAAACCATGCCCGCACAAGTCACAACCTAATAATGCAATATGCTTTTTGAAGCAAAAATAAATAAATAAATAAATAAACAACAATTCAAAATCGTAATCAAAATGAGAATTTATTTATTTGGCAACGAATCCAAAGAGTAAGAAAAGCACAGTAGGATGTAGAGAGAAGGAAAGCAGCGCACCAGAAAAATTATCGAAAAAGATAAGAAATATACAATATTGGCTAGGAAAATATAAATATCTATATATATATATATACACACACATATTATTAAGAACAAGAAGAATCAAAAAATAGTAATTTAAAACCAAAAAGAAAAAAAAAAATAATGAAAGAAAAGTGAGATGACGGTATCCGAACCATCTGTTAGATTGCTAGTTTCAACTGTGAACATGAGCAGGGGTGACAATTTGTCCTACATCTTCCCTACCCTAATGGGATGGGAGTGTTATGCCCCTAAATGGGATAGGGCGGATATGGCATCAGTACATGTAACCTGACTTGGGTTTGGGGTGGGTCCGGTATGGCATCAGTAAATGTAACCCGACTAGTGTTGCATCCCAACATAATATGTTACATATGTATTGCATCATTGAAGTAACTGTGCTCAAGTGTTGCATCCGATATTTAAATTGTACAGCAAAATATAGTTAAAAAAAAAAAAAAAAGTACAAGAAAGAATTCCAAAGGTGTAGAGAACTCCCCAGAAAGGACTAATGGTCATTACCCAATAATCAAAATTTTTTTTTGGGTAAATAAACACAGCGGCCAATGATCATTACTCTTGCCATCAATACATAAAATGGTGTGATGTCCCATTAAGAGGTTCAACAACCTCAAACTGACAATTTTAATTCTATCTTTTTACATGGCCATTTTCTATCTCTGGGCCACTATCGTTTTCCGTCTTTCACTATTCTATGAGCAATATTCCAAGGTTCTGAACTGGTTGAACTTCAAGGAATAGGTGAAAATTCGAACCCATTACAGTGGAAGTGGAACTGACGAACTCAGACTCGAATAATCATGAATTTACTTTTTAAATAAATACATCCAATCTCACCTCCTCTCACAGGTGGCATTAATAAACAAAAAAATTGTGCTACAAAAAATAAACAAATAAATTCCCAATTTAATTTAGAGGAAAATTCCATTGAATATCATATGAAAAGGTGTAGAGTTGGTGAATCTTGGCATTCATGAATTTTTATGCCAATTGCAAGTAAGAATTAAAAAAACCAGTGTGCAATCACAAACTACAATTTTGTTAATATCCCAATGTTCAAGTACTTGCATAAAAGCATATTTATATGTGTATATACAAATATAAACAATACCTATATGATGGCTCAATTATTGTAAAACAATCCTCAAATCCATGTCCTAGCCTAAATCCCCAAGTTATAAATCAAGCCTAATAGAAATCCCAAACCTAGTAACTTATAAATTTGATTTCACATGTGTTTACATACTTTAAAGCCAAAAAGAGAGAAAATCGTATTCCATATTATCTTCACTACCATAACAGTAAAACACACCGAAGTAAAGATATTGGAGATAAATACCGTGGCATCTTCAAAAATGGGGTCAAAACTCTGCAAATTGAGAAGTAGAACAAATGAGAGACGGCAGAAAAAGGAAGGTGAGAGACCCTTTGAATTTTGGTAAGATGTGGGAGTGGAGATGAGAATTTTTAGGGAGAAAATCAGGGTATAGAATTTGTCTTCACGTCTAGCAGTTCAATGTCTAGGGTAAATAAGCGGGCTATCAACAGGTGATAACCCATTAGCAACCAATTTAGAACGGGTTACCAACGATTTACTAAACAGACGGAGCAACCTGCGATACAAAGTCATTTAAACATTGAAAATTTGAATTTTGGAAAAATGGGCCAACAGGTTTGTCCCGTGTTTCCTCCAGAGGATTTTTCACATAAATCTTTGGGTCTTGATTTTGTTCGCTTGTTATTTTTATTTTGTAGCTTGGTGGTTGAATAATTTTGCTAGAACAAATATTCGTAACCAACAATTTTGACTCCGAAAACACCCAAATAAGGAGAGTTAAAGTGATTTCCATGTACATACAAAAATATTTTTTAAATATTAAAAAAATATATATGTATATAATTAAAGTAATTATTTTTTGTTCATTCTCCCTTAAGTAATTAAGTTTTAAATATGTTCACATATACATTAGTTGGTTTCTGCATCAACAAATGACATGTTCTTACATTTATTCATATATAACCTTTGGTATTCTCAATGAATTTATTTGATTTCCTTAATTCTAGATGAATCATTTTTAATTGACTAATTCAAATTTATGAGTTACATATTGATTAGTGTGATATATGAATGAATTTACCCAAATTCATTGTCTTAGAGCATGAATATTTTAAATTCATGTATATTGATGCCTGAACACATGGATGGAAATTCACTTGAGAGCTAGGTGATATAGGGATCACATTTCCCTCATTTAAAAGTATAAATCAAGTTCAATTCCATCTCATATTCAAGTTTTCTATTAACGTATTAACAGTAAAGGGATTAAGTGTTGCACCCAATTATATATCGTGCAAATACACTGTAGTTGGATTGAGTCTAGACTTATTTGAATCCTGGAAATAGAGTTGTTAAGAGGTTTCGACTATCTTCAAGAAATATTTATGTGCCATCTAAGTTTTCTAAAAATTATATTTCCGTCCTATTTGTAAGTGCAATTGATTTTCGTGATCCATCGTGATTATTTTTCCAACACTTACTAAGTGCCTGTTTGGGATTGCGTAGCATCCAAACGTGCGTTTAATTTAAAAATATAGTGTTTGGTGGTATTTGGTTTAAAAAAAAAAATGCGCTTTTAAAGAGTAGAGGTCGAATAAAAAAAGCTAAGGAAATAAAAGTGTTTAGTTCAGACTTTATTTCTTAGTTGGTATTCAACCACATGCCTCCACCGAGGTTCGAATTCCTGACCCTTTGAAAAATAGGGATTTGATACCGATAGGCCACTGACCTGTTGGTGAACATTGTGTTCTTAAATCTTAAGAGGATAAACGAATATTGTAATATTGTGATGACTATTATTGCTAGCCAAGTTTGATGTTCAATCCCCTTGAATATTTATAGTCCAATTTCACATTTTCAACACATAACTCTTAATATTCTAGATTATTAATGTTTTATGCATTACATTTATCTAAAAAATTCTAACTTAGATTTTTCATTGACATTCAATAGTATTTCAAGATTTTTGTTAGAAATTCTTTATAAAAGTGCACATTTAACCATTTAATAAAGAGTACTTCTCGAATTGTTTCTCAAATTATTGATTTATTGGAATTTCTTTGCCCTATCTTGAAATTATGTTTGGGTAATGCACATATTTATTAGTATTTATATAATATGTATTGTAAAATTAGTAATAAAAATGTTTTAAGTAATAATGTTACCAAACAAATTTAAAAGTGCATGCTTTAAATATAAAAAGTGTTTTATATAATGTATCATCAAATGCTTAACACGTTTTTTTACTCACATCAATTTTATGATAGCACTATTGATCAAAATGCTTTTACTATTACAACAACGACCCCAAACAGGCTCTAATCAAAACAAACCCCAGTTCTAGTGCCCATGAAAACATGAAAGACTTTAGTTAAAATAATTATTTAGAACGAGCTCATGCAGTGGGGTAGACACGGAGCCACGTTGGTAGTTACCCGCATGAGAATTTTCTCTTATTTGTATTTTATATACACATTTTTATTATTATAAAAGCTGTCCCATCAAATTTTAAAAATATTCACAAAAATCTTTAAAAAAACACTTCTAAATTTTTAAAAGATCCCTCATCTTTTGACTCATATGTCAAATAATATTTTTAAAATTCAGAATTGGTCAATGTCTTTTCTCCTCCAACACGTCTGGCAAAAATATTTTAAGAATCAAAATCAATATTCAGAAGGGAAAAAAAAAAAAAACCCTCCTTTGATAATGAATTTTATGTTATTTGTATTTTCTATACACAACTTTTGATGATTACAAAAGTGCCTCAACAGAATTCCTAAAAAATTCGAGAAATAGCTTGAGAATAACTTCCAAAATTCAAAATGGACCCTCATTTTTTTTCCTCTCATTTGTCCAACAAAATCACGTGTAGTAAAATTTTTAAGAATCAAATTTCAAAAAGATCCCTCTTTTGCTGTCTATCATTTTGATTCAAATTTTTTTACCATATTGTTGTTGATGGATGCCCCCTCTAAACTAAATTTTTTACCCCACCAATGAGCTTATGCTCTGATTTTCAATCCAAAAGGCCACCCCAAAAGAAAAAGAAAAAAAGAAGAGGAAAGTGAAGGATCACCACAACTTTGAAGAGAAATAAAGTTTGCCTTAAAACTCAAAATAGAAATTCAACCTACTTGCATCTAATGCGAAAGCTCAAATGAAGTTGATATACTTAGCAAAATCAAAGTTTGAAGTTGATTATGTGTTCGGTTCAAAAATCGGGGCTGGTATTGAAAAATTTCACCCGCTTTGGTAAAAGTTGTCTTTCGTAATAAGCAAATTTTAGTTACCACCCGGTATGGATTAAGCCAATAACTTTTTTTATTTTTATTTTTGTAACAGGCACCTAACTTGGTTGTAACCTTGTTGATAGAAATTTGTCTAAAATTCATTTATTACATAGCAAAAATCTATTGGCTACAGAAATGTGATGGTGAAGCTTCCAAATTAGTTTCCAAAGGAAGCTTTGAAATTCTTGGGCAACAAAAATGATTCAACAAGTGCTATTTGGCTTCCAAAGGAAGCTTTGTAATATACTTGAACACCAAGTATATTCTTGGCTATAAATAACCTTGTACTCATTCGATGAAAAACATAAGAGAGGTATCCAAGAGTAAGACAATATTCGGATCAAGAGAGTATATTGGTTTTGTGTGTGTGAAAAAATCCTTTTGTATGTGCAATCTT